AGTTCCAGGACAGTCAGGGATACACAGAGAAACCCTGTCTCAAAAAAACCAACTAAACAAACAGCTGAGGAACAATATGTGATATACACTGAATAACGGAAAGGCAAGAGTTAAAATCATCTACCCTCATACTGTTAAGATATGCTGCCCATATTTTTAAGCATGGCACGCATACTAATTCATTGGAATTCCACCTTTAAACAGATGAGGTTTGCTACCATTGGCACCTTCACTTTACAGTGGAGGAAACTAGAGTACAAAGAAAACTTGAAGATTCTGTCTAGGGGGATACAGTAAAACCATGCTTCATTTATCTTGGGAAGAGGTGAAACTTAGCAGAAATTGTAATGGGAGGACACAGACTATTACGGGAATACGTTTAATAGGACTAGGAAGACAGCGGAGTGTTTGGGTGATAAAAAGAGACAGAACTTCAGCACAATGCCAAGGCTCTGCTGCTCAACTAACTGTATTCACCAAAACGTATATGGGAAAGAGAAGGACCTGGTTATTTAACAGCTTAGTTGCTTGACTATCATCGAAACAGATGCAATTTACTGTGTTAATAAAGCAAAGTGCAAGACACAGGACATGGGGAGAGGACAGAAGAACTCCACAAATGAAGATTACTGCAGACTACTTACCAGGGGTACTGCAAGCCACAGGAGGACACGGTGCCTTCAGCTTTTCACTGGGCTCTTGAGCTGACCTTTTATCACCAGCAGGAGGAGAATTCTGCTTTGGCATGACATGGTAATAAGATGGTGCATATTTGGAGGAACTACAACCTTATAAATAGACAGACAGCATTTTAAAATTATTTCAGAACTCAGAATCATGCAAAGAATGAAAGGCTTACTAAAGCATCATCTTCAGATGCCCGGCGTGTCCCTACCTCGTTTCTTCCTAGACTCCTGGATCTCTTCACAAAGCTGCTCAAAGTCTTCATCAAGCTCTTCTTTAATTATTGCATAGGCGGTGTCCCTTAAAGCACAGGCTCTATGCCTAATAAGACGATCTGAGAAATAAGGAAATATAATTATTAATCTTCCCAAAAGTGAACTTACTAGTTTGGGTAAAGATAGCAATCATTACAATTTCCTAACTTCATACAAAGAGTAAATTTACTAGAACTTTTATCTTCATTGGGGTGATAACCCAAGGATTTGCTATCTGATTCAATATAACAACTATACCCAAAGCGTTTTATTGCTGTGCTCTAGTAAGATCCCCATAAGATATCAGAAAAGGCAGAGGGATATAGCTCAGTATGCTTTCAATTGTTTTAAGAAACCCTTCCAATGAACCTTAAGGCCAGCATAAGAGACTGAAACGGGAAGCAGGAGGAGCAGGAGCTCATGGTCACTCTTAACTACAGTCAGGTCAAGGTCAACCTGAGCTACACCATATTAACAGGAGGCTGGCATTCTTAATTCCCAACACTGGGGAAGCAGAGGGAGGCAGATCTCTGAGTTTTAGGCCAGCACGGGCTACATGGTAGGACCCTGTCACAAACAAACAAATCCCCAAAGAACAACAAAAGGGAACTTTTAATAGTTCCCTACATAAATCATTCTAATTTATAAGTACTACTTTTTAGAGGTCTAATGATAGCCCAATTAACTCTACACACCCACTTTTGGATACACTTTAAATATTACTCTTACTATTAGGCAAGTTATGTAATAAAAAATGTGTCCAGGCGTAACAACACAAGCCTGTAATCCCAGCACTTGAAAGACAGAGATAGGATTGCCCTAACTTTGAGTTCAGTTAGGACTGTCTCAAAAAAAAAAAAAAAAAAA